ATTTGAATAAAATAGGATAATTTTTTAATTGCAATTAAATTTGGAATTTTACAATTTTAGATTTGAGCCAATGTCTTTAGATTTATTAAGACAATGTAAAAATTTAAAGATTTTAAAACTTGAATTCGTTAAATATAATGGTAGTAAGGAATTATATAGATTATTAGGTCAAATTAAATTCTTAAAATTGAAAAATCTTAGCTTAAAATTAATTGATTATGAAACATCATACGATGCACAATATAATTTTGGTCCTACAATAGAAGAATTTTATGAGATTTTCAAAACTAATGGCCTTAATTTGAATATCCTAAAATTAGAAATAAACTTTGAGAAATATTCAGAAGCTTTAAGTATTATAGGAAAAAATTGTAAAAATTTAAAAGAAGTGGAAGTAATTGGAAATTATGATGTTAAGGATTTGCTGATATTTTTAAATCAACCTTTAAATCTTAAAAAATTAAGTTTAGGTAGTAGTAATATTAACAATGCAGCTGCAACTACAACTACAAGCACAACCATTACATCAACGTCAAACAACTATTATTTTTCGGAAAGAAGTGTTAATAGTAATAAATCTCCAGGTGACATTGATCCAATAGAAATATTGTTACAAATTCCAAATTTAATTGCAATTAAAAAATTATCCTATTTTTATACAAATTGGGTATTCTATACATCTGAAATTTTAAATATTTTAAACAATTGGGAAGCTCCATGTTTAGAATTTAGTTATTGGTGTGCTGAAAATTTGTTAGAATTACATGAAAAAATGTTTATAAATTATTATCAAGAAAGAATTAATAGAAACTTAAATGAAGATAAAATAAAGAAAATGAATTTTATGATTAAGAGTATTGTTTATTGGGATTTACGAAGATTATGTTTAGTAGTAGTTAAATTTATATAAATAAATTTTTTTTTAGATTATTAGAAAATAATAAAGAATAGGATTTTCTTTATAGTAATAGTGAATTTTACCTTAATGACTTTTTTTATTTCTTTATAATAAATTTGTTTCTTATAATGGACTTATTATTATTAATTATTGGGGGTCGATAGGGTCCCACAAACTATATATATATATATTGAGCAAACAGGAGAGATAGGGATGGGAACGGTTCAACCCAATCCAGTTCAACCGGCGGTTCGAAACCGAACCGATGCGGTTTGGTTTACACATTTCAAACCGCGGTTTAATCAACCGCGGTTAAACCCCGGTTCAAACCCCGGTTCAGTGGTCCTGACCAATAAAAATTAACTACATTTATTTTAATTTTTTTTAAGAATGTACCACCAATATATTCCTTAAAAAATATTTTTTTTGCAAGAATGTCAATTGACGAAAGAATTGATAATGCTGCACTTTCACCTACTTCAATCATTCAAATTTTTGATAATGATACT